TAAAATCCGGAAAATTGTAGTAATAAAGAATGAGCCAGTTTTATATTATCTTGGAAGTGATGATGATGAATTTGCACTATCTCGCGGATTTGTGCGAGAAGAACTCATGTTAATAGCTGAACCAGAAAAAGTTGGGTATCCACCTCAAAGAATATTATCTGTACATGTTGCCTTTGTTACTAATAGAGAGATAGATCAAGCTATTGATTATGCTCAAAGACGTGGTGGTCAATGTCTAGGAAAGACTGGAGAAATAAATGAACATAATGTATATCTTTGGTCTTGTGAGGATGGTACACACCAATGGGAATATCCATTAAAATACATCATGAAGAAATTCGAGGTGTGTCCTCTTTGTCATCATACTAGCGGTGAACGTAAGTCTCGATATATTTTTGAAGATCTGCTAGGCAAGAAATTTCTATCCTATAGACCATCATTTTTGAATGGAATGCAACTTGATGAATATAACGAAGAGTTGCAACTAGGATTCAAATTTCATGGCAGGCAACACTATAGTCTTAATTCAATGTTTCATAGGAGAGGCTAGATAGACTTGGAGCAACAAAAAATCAGAGATCAAAAAAAGCGAAATATATGCAAGGAACGAGGTATATGTCTTATCGAAGTACCCTATATATGTGACCTTTTTCCTTACATTAAGCATATGCTAATTGAGAAAGGATTCTTGAATAATTCCCCAAGTTAAGCGAGCCGGCTCCACGATGATCCGTCTGAAATTTCATAATATATTTTTAAAGTATGATATTAAGCAATATGAAAGATCATAAGAAACATCAAGTTAGAAAGCTTGATCTAGTAGATAGAATCATTTTTCATATTGATAAGATAAAAGATGCAAAAAGATTCAACAGATTGAATTCAATTTCCTAATGGCTTTTCACTCTTCTGATCTCAAAAAGAACAAATTCAGAAAAAACTAATGAAGTTGTGAATCTATTATTGGAAAACAAGCTTTATTTAATGTTTAAAGGTGACACAATATATCAAAAATGATTATTTAGTTCTTATTGGTCATTACCTTAAGTAGCCAAAATACTTGTATCTCAAATCTGATTATCAGATAATTGCGAATAGTCCAAAACTATATTGTGAAGATATTACATTTCGGACTATGAAGTCTGATAAAATTCCAAAGCTGGATTCATTCTCTTCAGAAAGAGATACAGTAAGTCCAAGAAAAAATTGTTCCTTATTTTACTGAAGGCCGTTACAAAAATATTAGCATTATATACATTACATAAAGCTTTTTTGACTGTCCGAAGATAATAAGAAAAGAATTAAATTATATTATACTCTTTAATGCTCTACTTCTGATGAACTAGCCTGTATTCTTCGTCTATATGCTTATGATTGATATAGTATATATGAAGATGTCGTTAACTATTTGACTAATCGCAATTTTATTGTCTTTAATTTAACAGTGCTTCCAAACCATCCTCACAGAATACGAGTTGGATGGGATAAAATTTTTGAAAAAAATGTCCAAGCTAGTGAGTAGAATCTGATTTAACAAATGACAACTTTTTCTACTTTCTGTACCTGCATCTTCAGATAACGTAATATTTTATTTGCACTAACCCTTTCGTATAATCATTATCTATGTCTTGTATCATTTTCCCAAAAGTCTTTCTATTATAATCAAGTAAATGTTGAGATAAGACTTTAAGTTCATTTATAACTCGGTGGTTATTTTCTTCCTCGAGATTATAAGGGATACCATCAGTTTGGATCTCACTATCTAAAATATATACATATGTTAATGCTGAAAATACATCATATTCTGATCAACTTCGAGGACGTAGTAATTTTTTCTGAGCCATATTTTTGCATTTCCTATTTAATGAATTCTTATAAATTTCTAATGTGTATCTCAAATAAGATTCAATTCGTTTGGACTTTCCAGAAATAGATTCTAATGGAATAGGATTTTTAAAATAATATAAAACTCTCTCATTAGTTGAAATAGGTACAAATCGGTTAAAAATCAGACAGACGATTGATGGATGATTGATAGCTAATTTAGGGCTGATTTACATTAATTTCGATTAATACAATATGAGTCAATCAGAAATATCAATTAGTCATCAATCGCCATCAATCGTTCATCTAAAATCTGCCTAAAATAAGCCATCAATCATCTATCAATTGTTTGTCTGATTTTTAGCTGAAAATTTATTACATTTATTTCATTTTACAATTTCAGAAAATAATATTTTTTTATTAATTTTATAAATTTTATTCATTATTTGACAAGCAAATAGAAAATACTACTAAAAAATAAGCAAATTACTAAAAAAAGAAAAGAAGAAATCATCGTCGTAATCGATAAATTGTCGTCATCATTGTCATTATTCAATCGCTTCTGATTTAAAACTAAAAAAACTAGCAAATAAGCAAAAAATAAAATAAATTGTCACACCCGCCCTCCCATTTATAAAAAAAATAAACAAAATGTGAAAAAAAAAGAATAAAATGTGAAAAAAAAGCAAATAAAAAAACTTAAAATGTCTTATAAAAAAAAGAACAAAATGCAAAAAAAGCAAAAAAAAAGCTTAAAATATTCTATTCGCCATCCCATTTATAAAAAAAAAAAATAAGCAAAGAAAAAAAAATATTAAAAATCGTCACGTTATCGTCAAATCTACCATCTCGAATTGTTTGTCGCCATTAATCATCTATCTCAAGATGGTCAGAATCGTATTGTTCATCACTACTGGTCACCGATGTTTGCCCTCTTTCGACTTTGATAAGTTCTTCGTTATCGTAACATATTCTTTTTCACCCAATTTTTGACATCAGTGTCAAAGAATATGTTTGGTTGTTCGATTCAAGACCATTCAGGAACATATGAAAATTGGCAGCATAATTTGCTGGTATGGATGATTTTGATGATTGGTTCTTCATGCAAGATCTAACTGAACATCGTCATTGCAATTCTGATGCTTCACAAAAGCGATTTATAAAACAAACTGGTGTAAGATGGTCTGAATTATTGCAATTACCATATTTTGACCCTATTAGATTTATCTCAATTGACCCAATGCATTGCTTATTTTTAGGAATTGCACGATGGATAGTAAAATGAATTTGGATCGATAAGGGAATTTTAACATTAAATACCTTGAAAAAAATTTAGAAAAAAATGAATGAGTTTTAGATTTCATCTAATTTGTGTCGAATTCTGGGTAAAATTCATGAAAAAAGAAGGATTTTCTAATTTCACAACCGATCAATGGTGAATATTTTTTACTGTTTATGCTACTGTATCACTTTGGAAACATCTTTCAGCTGTAGATAAAAAGATTCTTACACATTTTGTGAAAATTTGCTTAATTTTAGTTAGCCAAATTATAGAATTAGATCTTGTTTTAGAAGCTCATCAAAGATTAATTGAAATAGCAAAGCTGATAGAAGTTAATCATGGTCATAATAAAATTACGCTGAACATTCATTTATCTCTTCATTTATATGATTGCTTATTTGATTATGGGCTATTGTATATGTTCTGGTGTTTTTCTTTCGAATGCATAAATGGAATATTTGGTAATTTATTATTATAAAAATTTTCTGATTGAATATATTTATTAATTTTTAAAGTTATAATTCTTATGCTCTTTATCAAATAGCAATAGAAAAATCGAACCTGAACTTATGCGTCGAATAATGTTTGATAGTTAAATTGACAATATCATAAATTCCGATGTTGAAATGAAAGGGCTTGAATTTTTGGATAATTGGCCTTCTATTGGCTCTCTTTCGGTTACTGACCAATTTTTATCAAATGAAATATACTGATTTTGAATGAATTTCCAAAATATTAAAGAATCGCATATTTTTGGTAGTAAAAATTTTCCAGGAAAATTTCTTAAACTATCATCTGATAATATAATCATTTCAAATGAAATACTGGATTTAATTGTTAAATACTATTTAGCAACTTATAAGAATCTTGAATTTTGGAAACTATTCAGCGATGATTCAGAAAATGCTATAATAATTCAGTTTAAAATAAATCAGTTTGGAAGATGTCAAATTGGTTCTGAAATCTTTGGTTCAACAATGTCCTTACGACATGAGAAAAGTTCATACATTTTGGCCAAATTTATTACGAATGATGATGTTATTGATTGTTATCCAGGTCAAGTTACATATTATTTTACTCATACGATCGATTTACCATATAGATTGACTGAACATTTTCTAGCATATGTTCGTTAGTATCAACCTGCAGGTTCTCCAAATGTTCGATATCATTTTAACGTTGAAGAAACATGTAATGTTGAATTATGGGATACTGATTTTTACCCTGAAAGTTGTGATTGCATAATACCAGTACATCATATTTTAGGACGTTTTGTACCAGTGATCTATATGATTTCAACTCGGTGAAATGCAAAAGATTATTTGCCATCAATCCGATTAATAGAAAATACTAATTATGAAATTATGATACCTTATTTTCTTCCGAATTGTTATTTTTGATATAAAATAATCTATTAAAATTGCTTTTAGATTTTATAAATATACAAATCATCTATAAATCGGACAGGTTGATTTAGGTTAATTTTTGGCCATTGATGATTATGTCTGATTGACAGACAATTGATGGATAATTTATCACATGTTCAATATTTTTGATTTTGACCAGTGTCTCACACGCTCTTTTGATAAGACTTTCAGATAATCTATCAATAATATGTTTATAATCAAAATGGAACATTTTATTAGATATAGTTTTACGCAAAAAAAGTTTGCATGCAAAAATAAATTCACGCATCAATTTTGTAACACATCTGATAGATCAGCTAGAAATATTAGCTCTGATCAAGTATTTCACGTGATATCATGACCATCAAATCAATGAAAATAGGTTATTTAGTCAATTGTAAACAAGTTTATAGTTTTTTGCTAAGAAAATTTTATTATCCGATATATATCACACACAAAAAATATGAATATATATTTGTGAAATCGACTGTCAGGGTCACTTTATTGATATAGTAATACAAATAATAATTAGATTATTTTTTTTTCCAATTTTATAGACTTTTTTTTTTTATTTTTGGTAGTGATGATGATCTTGGTAGAGAAGAAACTGTGGAGCTATTTTCTGTATTACTACTTAAACTAGTTGAAAGTGCATAATTAAGGTTACTAGACGAAATCAAGAGTTTAGACAGACGTTTAAATGGTAAAAGTAAACTTGGTTAAATTATATTAAAACCTTATTAAAAAATCTGCGAAATTTGAAAAAAGGTAAAACTATATCAAAGCTTATAAAAATGGCGAAACTATATCAAACACTTAGTAAAAATTTAGCGAAACTAAAGGTTTAACCATTTTGCCAAATCTAAAATGAGTTTAGACAAGCAACCTTACGCATAATACAGAAGAGATATATTGACGTGCAAGATATTCTATAATTATAAGTATATGTTTAGTGAAATATTTTTAGAATTAATATATAAATTAATTGGAAAGTTTTCTCTGAAGATCTTTGATCAAAGAAGGGGATAGATTATCTCC